ATGCCCTGCTGTATGCCCAGAGTCTTCACCTCCATGACCTCCAGAGGCAACCCCCACACAGTGACCGAGGAGGCGCTGGCTGCCTGCACCGGCCAAACAGACCTTCCTCTGGTATGCTAGAATTGGCCAATCTTAATAGGTCTCCCTTCTCTGCACTTCGATGCTCCTAACTGAAACAGAGAAGAACATTTCAGGAAACCAGGGAACAGAAATTGCATTCCATTCTTAGAAATCAATCAGAAACAAGCAATAGGTAGGGAGAACACAGGTCCATTTTACCAGTCTTTCTGAATTGAGTTTTATGAACTATGCTTTTGATGTCAAGTCTAAGACTTTTTCCTTGTTTTGTTTTAAGACAAGGTCTCTTGTAGCCCAGGATGACCTCAAACTTACTATGTAACTAAGAATGAACTTGAACTTCTGATCTTCTGCCTCCATCTCTCTCCTGAGCTCTGAGATAATAGGTGTGTACTACCATACCCAATTTATGCAGTGCTGGGAACTGAACCCACAGCTTCATGTATGCTATACAACTACTCTACCAACTAAGCTACATCTCCAGCTCCAAATTTTCTTCTAAAAGTTTTATAATTTTAGCATTTACACCTATTTAGGTCTTCTCTGATAACTTTCCTGACATTGTGATTTTTAGCAAATAAACCTTATAAGTATTTTGTTACATTCATACATAAATACTTCATTTTCTTTTGAAAAACTGTAAATGCTATTATGTTCTCAATTTTAGTTTCCAGCTGTTCATTGTTAACATATAGAAATGCTATTAGTTTTTGTATCTTGAGCTTTATTCAGAAATCTTGCTGAACTCAATTAGTTCTAGTAATCTTTTTTTGTATATTTTCCTTTTTTTCTTTTGGCCTTTTTGAGACAGGGTCTTCCTGTAGCCCCAGCTGTCCTGGAACTCACCATGTAGACCAGGCTGGCCTTGAACTCACAGAGATCTCCCTGCCTCTGCTTCCAGAGTGCTGGGATTAAAGGCATGTGCCACCACGTCCAGCTTTATTTTACTTAAAAAATATTTTATTATTTTTATTTTATGTGTATGAGTGTATTGTCTGCATGCATGTGAGTGCACCCATGTCGTGCAATGCTGCAGAGATCAGAAGAGGGCTTCAGAGTCCCCTGGAACTGGAGTTAAGGACTCTTTGTAGCTTCCTACTTTTTTAGTTCTGTGGGGAATCTTTGTCTTAAAAAAATTTTTTTTATTGAGCTTTTGTACATTTCATACAACAGTTATTCATCAAATTTAGACCCCTTCCCCCATCCATATCCTCCCAACCCCCAAGCACACCTCATGTATTCCACCACACATGTTAAGTCCCATCCAACTCAATCAGCCAAGGGCCCAGAGTGGAGTGGGAGAAATGGGTGGCAGCCCAGCCCTAGACTGGGAACTGCTGGAGATTGATGACTACTGGGTGAGGGACCGTAGGCCTTACTTACAATCTCTAGTTCTGTGTTCATAAACATATAATCTGCAATGGGGACAGTCTCCGTCCCTTACTTTATAATCTCTCTGCCTTTTATTTTTCTTGCCTTATTGCATCGCCTATGATTTCCAGCACTATGCTACCTAACAGTGGTGAGAGTGGATGTTCTTGCTTTTTCCTGATCTTGGAATTTTTCCTTCATTCAGCATTTCATCATTCATTAGTCATGTCAGCTGTAGTTTTTGTAGATTCTCTTTTTAAGACATTCCCTTTTTTTCCCCAGTTCGCTTGAAAACAAACTAGGATTAGTGACAATTAAACACATATTGATACATTTTGTTGTTATCACCAAAGGCACCCTGCTTTTTCCTGATCTTGGAATTTTTCTGTCATTCAGCATTTCATCATCCATTAGTCATGTCAGCTGTAATTTTTGTAGATTCTCTCTTTTTTTTAATTTTAAAGAAAATTTATTGAGAATTTGAGAATTTCATGCATGCATATAAGGTGTTTTGATCAAATCCACACCCACTCCCTCCCCTCTAACTCTTCCCATATCTCCCCATCACTTTTTCCTGACAACTTCATGTACTTTCTTTTCTCTCTCTCTCTTTTTTTTTAATGGGGCTTTTTGCTACTCTAACATTCCCCCCATCTGAAGAGGTAACCCTAAAATCTTCTAAGGATTAGATAGAAGCTCCCAAATACTTTTGACATTTTTGGCCTTTGGAACAGAATATGTTGCTAACAGGCCCAAGGACATTTTGATTTTTAGCCCAGAAACTGGCTACATTTCTTTGGGGTCTTTTTACCCTAATTGCCTAGCCAATTCCTACCTCCTATTCTTATCACACCATCC